CAGCAGGAGGAGGTGGGTTGCATGTCCAAGGGTGCAAGCAGTGAGGGCTGCAGAGCTTCAAACGGGGCAAAAAGGTCCTTGTCTTGGCTCAGGGAGGGGCAGCTGGAGCTTTGTGGGTGAATGATGATCTCTGGTGGTGAGGATACTGCAGAGGACACTGGCAGGGCATCACGTGTGCTTGGTGGTCTGGTCCTTGGGTTAATGCTCTTCTAGCGCCATGCTTCCCTTGGTTTCCTTAGTCTTTGCCCTATGCCATCCCTTTTTCCATCTGTTCCATCATGTTTTTCCCTCTGACTGCTTGCAGGTGGAAGATGACCTCCCTCCGGAGGTGGCACCCACTCAGCCAGGGCTCTCCTGGGCTGCCGCATCGCTGGCAGGTAAAGAAAACAAAGCAGCAGGTTGCAAACACTGCAGTGGGCTTCTCCGGGTGTGGAGTTGTGCTGCCATGGGCTGGGAGGCAGCTCCTTGCTCCCTGGAGCATCCCTCAGCAGCTGTCCCTTGCTCCTTACGTCCCCCCAGAGCTCAAAATTACGCTCCTAGCGGGATGCATTCATCTGGTGTGGGGCTGCCGGGGGTGGGCTGCAAACAAAGGAGTTGATGCTTGTGCCCTCAATATGAAGTCTGAGTAATTAGGCCTAATGACCTCAGCTTCAGGAGCTGCTGTGGAAGGAGAAGGGGTCCGGGCGGCTGCATGGAGCATGTGTCTCCCAGCCGAGCCTCAGGGGAGACGGCTGCGTTCCCGCGCAGTGCTCCGAGGATGCAAACTGGAGCTGAACTAAGGGGATTTCACACTTGCAGAGCGAAAGGTTTGGGAAGGAGCTGGTCCCTCTGTGTGCCGGGCTGCAGCGTGCCTGTTTGTGAAGCCCTGGCGTCTGCCCTTCCCTGCTGCCTCTCCCATCCCTTTGCTTTGTCTCTGGGTGACTCCAAGAGTCCTCTTCAGTGACAGTCTACCCGGAGGGTCAAGAGATGTCAAGATGAGGGACAGGAGCCTCCCCTGGGTGGCTGTCAAGGGAAGGGCTGGAGAGCTTTCCTTTCCCAGCCGGGCAGTGTGTCCCTCGGGATGTTCCATCAAGGAGAAGTCAGGGGCTGGTGACCCATCGGCGTTGCTTCACAGCCACCTCCATTGCCAGAACACCCCGGCACAGCCCGCTGCTCCTCGCTGCTGCTCAGGTCGAGCTTTCTGCTGGGAACACCGGCACCGATGAGTGGAGAACAAAGGCTGGTGCAGACGGGATAAAACAGGACAAATTCCTCCAAGCCTGTTCTTCCTATCAACTTTCCCTGGTGCTGCCAAACTCTTTTTCAAAGAGCTCTCCCAGGCAGCAAAAAAAGATCATCAATCCTGACTGTCACACGCTGCTATCAGGGCTGAGGCTATGATCATCCTTCCCTGGAAAAAAGTCGTAGGTATGATGGGATGGCTTCTCCGAGCGGCCAGATCTGCTCCATGTGGTCCCTGCAGCCTGCTTTCCCAGTGCTTGGCACTTCTGTTCACTGAGGAGGCCATCCAGAATCTCCATCTGAGGGACCTGCATGGAGAGAAAGCTGGCTTGGTGCTGGATTCATCTGTCTTCTAAAGACAAAGCCCCAACCAAGGCGCCAAGCTGGAACCCACATGGTCACAGCAACCTCTCTCTCCATCCGTACAGCCTGGGCTGTCCTCCCTGACTTTCACCGGCTGAGCTCACTGGGCGACACGGAACCGAGCATCCATCTTCCTCCCTGTGGCTCTTGAGCATCTCTGGGAATATAGGAGCAGCTCGTGGGTGCGAAGCTGACCCTGAGCAGACGGGAGGTGATGCTGGCAGACAAAGCGAAGGGTTTTGTAGCGCTGCATGCAAGAGGTGCCTCCAGGCTCTGACCCCCGCGGGGTTTGAGTCTGGCCTGGCCATGTCTCATGGCGATGGGAGAGAAACTTTCCAGTGCCCAGGACATTCCTGGCCAGAGGCTGCAGAGCTGGAAGAAGCAGGACATGCACCTGGGACACACCGTGGTGTCTAACATCAGTCAGAGCAATGTACATGCGTGTTAAATAAAACAAACCCCACTTGCCCAACCTGCCTTTCAAGCAAAATGAAAAAAAAAAAAGGCAACCCTGAATAAATCTGCCTAAAGCAAGAAACTCATCTGTAGGTGCTCC